AAAAGACTTGAGTGCCCTTCTTTAAGTAAGAGGCACTCGAACTAATATAACAGTACACATCAGCATTCTCAACAAGTACAGAGACTGAAATACCCCTTCACTAACACCACTAACAGTTAGCACCGCATGTTTTCTGTGCATTAGGCATCATCTATTTTATCAAAAAAAAGATCTTTTCTTATTTATTACCAAAAGAATTTTATGAAGTATTCTTGTAAGGCTTCCTGGTGAAACCACCTCATACTTCATGAAAGTTGAAACTGATCTAATTATGACCCTTTAAATGTCTAGCCTTACCTGATTGGATGAGTGGTCCTAGCGTCTCTTGGTATCCTTGTTGTCCTTACTGGCAATGATAGTACCTCTTGGATCAAATGAAACAGCCAGAAACTCAAGAGGTTCGCCTTTGGAAGCATCAGCAATAACCAAAGTGTCACTCCTTCCTGATGTAGCCAAGTATCCCAATTTTTATCCGTTCTTGTTTCAGCATCCTGTATTAGAGTGACCTTAGTGCACTAGGCACCAGATATGGCACATAAAAGAGTTCATTCTGTTTCTTAACACTGGCGTCTACCCTACTATTACATATTATGTCTATTCTTTGGTAAAGACTACTACATGTTATGTCATGTATTAAGTTTTCAAATTTTTGCTTTTCTTGGACTGATGTATGAAGGTGCTGGTTGCTGATTTTGAATTATCTCTACGTTCTTGAATCAAGGAAACAGACACACAGACTGTCTGTGGTTGGGAGGAAATGTCATGCTTGAGTACTCATGTCAAGAGGTCTTCTAGTTGTAACTGGAAAGATTGTTGGCATTTATTTCCCTCCTACAGGGAAGCAAGTCTAATCTAAAATGATAATTTCTGCAGGCTACTGCTTTTTTTGCAAAAGAATCTAGAAAATGCTAAACCCAGCATGCAAGTACTTGTTGCTGACCTGCAGTTCCCAAGGGACCAAGTAACAATAATTCAGGTGCATCTATTGTTAACTGACCTGATAATCTTTTTTAATTTCGTCTGTAAGCTACACAGGTAGGTGTTTATTTCCTTTTTTCATTTTTGGCTCTTGGCTAGTTAATTTCCATTGATCAGGTTACAGTTGCTCGTGTGTATAATTGGGATGTTCATCGGTGCAGACTCAAACAAACTCCTACTGCTGTGAAAGACTCCTGAAGGTTATTATTTTACTAGAACAGGTAAACCTGGCTTTTCTGTTTTGTTCTGTTCGATAACTCATATTTTCTTTATTTTTTTCTTTATTTGGAGTTAACATTTATCTCTCTCTTCACAGAATTCATTAGTATATCCATAAAATGGGATCTCTTGCTTTGTTTGGTCCAAAGTTATGCTGGATTGATATATACTGCAAACAAAAATCAGTTTTGATATATCAATTTGGGCCAGAAGTAGACTTGAACGTACTTGAAGTATTGAATTTAATGATTGTGTGACCTGTAAATATTTGATTGAATCGAAGAGCTAATTAAGTATTTGATTTTCAATGAAGCTAGTACAAATTGGACAAACTAGGAGAACTCCCTTTCTAAGTTTGAAATCTACTTTCAGTGGAGAGAATGGTGGGACCAGATGCAGTTTCAGCGTGAAAGCAATTTGTCTTCCTCATTGCAATTTGCACTCAATAAAGTGGCATTGTCAGCATCGTCGACATGGGATGATATCGATACCATTTCTATCAGAAGAATTGCAAATATTTAATTTCCTATGTATGAGTCATGGGATCTTTTGTATTCAGTCACCCTGTTTCATGGCTGGGTCAACTGATTAAATCGAATAATCTTTAATTCTTTATTTACAAAGAAACAAAAAAACTGTATTCCCAACTCCCAAGCTGCAAGTTACTGCCTCACAGTTTTGTCTGTCTGCATTTGATGAGTTCCCCTAGTACAGAGGCCAACACTTGAGGGGGAGGGTCCGTTTGGTTCACAGTTGGAATGGGAATTGGAATCAGAATCAGAATCAAAATCTTTTGGAATCAGAATCGGAATCGTCATAGTCTGTTTGGTTCAGACAGGAATGGGATTTCATTCCCAAAGGGCAGGGAATGACCATTCTCTTAAATGGAGAAATGCTATTCTAGCAGGAATGAGAATGGGATTTAGGTTTAGTTCAACCAAACAGTTGAAATCGGAATAATCCATTCCGGTTCCGATTCCAGACCCCTATTCTTGCGAATCAAGCGGGGCCTAAATGTTTTGCAATGCCAAGAGTCAGTTAATTGGAATCAGAATGATCTATTATTCTTCCTGTCTGTTTGGTTTAGGTGGAAATCGGAATTGGAATGAATAGATTTCCATTCCCAAAAGAGGGGGAGGGAATTATCATTTCTTTAAATCGGAGAATGCCATTTCACCAGGAATAGGAATGAAATTTCATTTGGAATTGAATTCCAATTCCAGACCCCTAATTTCATGATCCAAAGGAACCCTAATTTGCTATTTCAACCCATGCAACGCTATTTAATAAATGTTTAAGAAGTTTTCTTCTTTTTCTCTTCTGTAACGCCCCAGTCCCCACCCCTCTCTTTCCCCTTTATACTCCTTTTTTTTATTTATTTTATGGGTTGGTTGATCTATCATCAAACAGTGGAGCGCTGATCTCACCTAATGTTCTTACGATTCAATTGACCGGCATTTGCTCCATGACGTTAAAGTTATAGACAGGCTTCAACAAATATGTATATATATATATATAAAAAAACAAAACAAGGGTTATAGATAGGCCCACCCATAACGAAATAGGCTGAGAACCACACCCACTATTCAAATCGCAGCCCATGAATAATGTAATTTATATAAACAAAGTCAAACCCTCGTCTCCAGACTCCGGTCGGTGGCATCGGCATCCCATTCCTATCCACCATGTAGGTCAAAGAAAGAATTGGCCGATATTCTGGGTTATATTTATATAGAGAATGAGTCAAAGGCGTTTGGCTGACGCCTGCTGTTTCTACTTTCTACTTTATATACTCCCCTCACGGTGCCCTGGTGTAATAAAAAACTTTCTATTTGTTGGTATTATTTATATGGAGTGTTGTTAAACATTGATAATTGATGTAAAACTTTACTTTGGTCGAATTTTATATTGATAAAATTTTGATAAAAACGATGTAAATATTTATATCGATAATCATATTTCCGATTTACAATGGTTCATAGGTGTAATTTTATTTTTATACTGTAATCAAACGCAGTCTAAGGCTTTGCTTGGGAACGATCCAAATAAAGTGTAAATACAAATATGCATAGTACAAATGGGTTCATATAAATGCAAAGATGGATTGATTTTGCATTGACAAACTTACCTTCTTTCCAAACAGACTTATCACACGGCAACTTAGATAACTTCTCTCTCTTTCTCTCTATCTCTTGCCCTAGCTTCTTCCATAGTTCCATCCTCGGATCTGTATCTCGTCACGACGATTAAAAATTTCTAATAAATTATTAATTAACCACCGTTTTCATTTAAATAAAACGAAATTAAAAAGGGGGGAAATACGCTTATAACCTTGTTCCATATACAACACCACACACACAATTGTGAATAGAAAGACAGATTGCACGGTACCCAAGGCTGATGGTGTCGTCAATTGGATTATTTAACCATCTTGTCCTTTTGGGATTTGACCAGCCAAGCCCCCTATTACTTGTACATTATCAAAATAAGTGTTGACTTTGACTTCTCATGTGCCATACCTCCTCCCCTCTCATGGGTTTGCTTTTCTTTTCTTTAAAATATTCAAATATTAAATTCCACCGGATACCCGTTGATTGTTGAAGTTGAAGAGAAGAGAACAACTTTTTTCTTTTTATTTTATTAATAGTTTAGGGTGTGACCGCAATTATCTCTTGCGTTTGATTTCGAGTGTATGTCTTTTCTTTCTAGAAGGCCTGATCTTTTCTTTCTCCCCCAGCAGATTACTTGCCACAAACTTCAATTCAACCCAACCACTCAATTCAAAAGAGTCTAGACACAGTCAGGGGGATAAAGAGGACGTTGAATGCTGAAATCAATAAGTTAGCAACCTTTTAGGTTTGTTAATTTGATTCTAGACATTATTTGTGCCTTAATATCAATTAACAATGTTAAATCAGAGATTCATTATTATTATTATTATTACTATTACTACTACATCATGTCGATGTCGATCAAAAAATGGATGGAATCATAAATCCTGTTAATTAAGTAAAGAATTCATATATAATTTTTCTTTTTCTTTTTTTCTTCTTTCTTTAATGTTTTAGTAAGCTCATTTATTAGGAGCCATGAAAGCGAAATGTGGTCCAATGAATCTTCCCATCTTCATCACCTTTATTTCTTCTTTCTCTTAGATGGATAATTCTGATGTAATTCCATTTTTTGCAATGAAACGATCTTGTGACCTCTGGCCCTCATGATTATGACATATTGTCGACACTTCAACTAAACCCATGTTCAGTGTTGTATGTTAGAAAAGCCTAATTTAACGTCTATTAAAGGGTGATAAAAAACAAGAACAAGAAGAAAATGAGTGAATGGGGGAGGAGATGTAACCCAAGAGGGTATAGTGTTTGTGTGTGTGTGTGAGAGAGAGAGAGAGGTGACTAATTATGAATTAAAAGAATTTGGCTTTTTTACAGTCCACTCCACTTTGAATTTGGAAATTATTTTTCCAAATGTATTCATCCCCAGCTCCTCGCCCAAATTGTACGATCGCATTATGAATTCTGAGGTAGACTGAACTCAAATTACCCTTTAAAATTTTGATATGCTTCTATACATGCATATAATAGATAGAAGAGTCTATTCAAACATGGATTAAGCAAATATAAATGTAGTTATATCCATTCATCGATGCTTTCATAATATAAATATTTCATTGCAGCTACCTAGCTAGTTTAGATGAGGGGCAGTGGTTAACCGTTATTTATATTTAATCAATGTAAATACAATTCATAGATTCATACCTCAGCTGTCTATTTTGTTAATGAATAGACCCGACTACCCTACTACCCTACCCTACCCTACCTTTGACATAATATTATTCCCTGGGGAACACTTGCTAGCTATGGCCACTTCAGCTGTGTTTGGTTGCAGCACATAAAAGGAAGACAAACCACAAAAGAGAATGAATGATTTCTTTGAAAATTGATATTCAATTGGAAAAACAAATCATTTTTCTACAACCCCAATTCACCTTTTAGTAAAAAAAAAAAAAAAAATCATTTATTTTCCATGATCATTTCCTTGCAAAACCAAACAGAACTCTTATATATGTATCTATATAAAATCAGATCATATGCGCCTATGGTTTATCTCCTCGAAATCTCTGCCAACCAAACAATAGAGTCAACGTACGTAACCAAACACATGGTGGGCATTCACGGGGTACAAGTGTCGTGGATCACTCACTCACTCACTCACTCACTCACTCATTCCCATTCATCTTCATATAATCACTTCACAGCAATTAATCTGTAACAGAAGAAACAGAAATAAAAAAGAAAAGAAGATTCTCTGCAATAAACAATTTACAAAAAAAACAAATCAGTGTATCATAGGATGATGAATGATGTTCATTTCATCCCATTACATTATATACTCGTAACTTCCTTGCTTTCCATCACCATAATCTACTTATTATAAACCCTTTAAATGCTGGAGCGCCTGGAGGGGACCATGTCACTATTCACACTTCACACACATACATTCAGCTGTTTCTTTTACAATAAATTAAAAACATCTCCTCATGGATTAGTTAAACGACCGTTTCCCTCTTTCCTTCGTTTTTTTTTCTTCTCCTTCTTCAACCACGTTCACATGAACCAACAAACAAACAGGTGGTGTTCGATTCAGAATTTCGAGAGATTTGACCGGCCGGGGCGGCATGTGTTGTTTGCTCGAGGATCGAGGCATCCATCCATCAGACTCACACAATCCGGCCAAGGAGGAGAAGGTAGGTATCGGCCGATACGTAGCCGTAGCGGAGACTCGTGACCGTAGTCAAACAAAACTAGGGTTTTGGGTCCGAGAAACCAAGCTGAAATAAATAAATAATTTTTTTTTGTTTAATATAAAATTAAAATCAGAAGCAGAACAGAAGAAGTACCAACCCCATTTCCGTTCCGATTTAATAATGTCTCTTTTGTCTCTTTCGAAACCCCCAAACTTGTCCATGAAGCAACATAGTCAACACTTAATTCTAATTTATTTTATTTTATTTTTTTATTTTTAACTTGATTTCTTTTTTTTTTTTAAAGAAAAAAAAAAGCGCTATTATAAGAGAGGAGCACACTACTACTGCACACAAGATCTCGAGAGCGTGTATTACAAGCAAACGTAGAATATACCGAAACCGCGTTAAAGGGACACGTGCTTTGAAAGCTGGGACAGCTAGCATGGCCGTCCGATCGTACACGTGGAAGGAATGACGCGCTTTGGGGCATTTCGATGTGCGGATTGAGATGATTACACGTGTGCGATTCGGAGGGGCCGATTGGTCGGGCATCGAATTCTGAGACGACGTCGACCCGGGGCCGTGTATGGTGGCGAGTTGGTTTCACGAAAAGGGTTTAAATAATTTGCCCCCTTTTTCTGACAATCCCGCTTTTGTCCCTAACCTTTCATTTCAGTGGGTCGACGAATCAAAACTCAAAGCCAAAAAGGCTCGTTTGTTTTGGTATTGGGCCTACCTATTGATTGGCCCATTTCCACTTTCATTGGGCCTACTATTGATGGCTCATTAGGATTACGTGGATTGGTTGTTTGCCTGTCCGGACTCCAGAGAGAAACGAGAAGCGAGAACCGAGCGAAGCGGAGGGTGGATGACGCGGGAATCGTGTCAGCACACCATCTGCCTGTCAGACGAGGGACCACACGTGTATAAAACCTTTTTCACACGATCTGAGATAACCTGGAACCTGAACCTCCCTTACTACCGATCTCACCGTTTCTGTCTAATTAATTATGTCTCTCTCTTCGAAAATCTTTTTCACCGACTGGGGTACGGGGTATCCAACTATCCATTTCACACGTTTTCCTTCCTTTCCTACCTTATCTTTCCACGGTACCATTACATCATTTAAATTACTTAAATGCCCTCCGCATCACTGAAAATAAATCAGAAGGGTATTTTGCTTTCGGAGAGACAGTGCAATTGGATGATCTCGATCTCGACTCTCGACCAATATTTGTGGTGTGGCCAACTGCCATGCATGTTCCCTGGCCATGGGCCTCCCTACCGTATCCATATCATGCATGAATGGATATGGATATGATGAACCCAGGGAGAGGAATGTACGTCGCGAGCTACTTTAATAAAGTGAAATGTATTTTTTTTTTTTCTTTTTAATTTGGAGATGCAAGTTCCAACAAGGGGAGATAGATCCGACAACGCATAGCCCATGCTGTTGTTGACGTTAGCCGTAGCCGATAAAAAGTGCAGTCGCTTTATGTCACCGAGCACGCTCGGTAACGCAAAAGATTACTCGGAACAGGCAAGGGCATATTTTTATATTGTGTCCCGAAAGTACGTTATCATCACTATCCCATAAATGGATTGGGGACACTTTTGGTCATTCTCTAGTTAAAAAAATAAATAAATGCAGAAAATGAAAAATGAAAATCTTTAATATTAGGGTTGGAATTTAGAGGTATAAATAGGGTCGTGCCTCGCCCAGCACGGTACAATCGCATGGGCTGTGTTGGGTCTAGAGTTTTAGGTTCGTGGGCCAAGCCAGCACAGCACGACCAAGCGAGTCGTTTCTCTCGCAGCCCGTTACAATTGTGTGGGTCATGTTGGGCCTAGAGTTTTAGGTCCATGGGCCGGGTAGGCACAACACGACCGAGCGGGCCGGGCCGCCCGTGGCCCACGTGCCAACATGACCTAGCTTAGCCCATATATATTATTTATATTTTTATATTTTTATATATAATATATAATATGTTATATAAGTTATAATTATATAATAATATAGTATATAATATATTAATAAAATAAATAATTATTTTCAATTTTATTATACTAATTTATTTAATTATTATATATATAAACAATTGTATATATTGAAATTTTAAAGTTTTTTTAATTTTTTAAATAAATAACTTTAACCCGATCCATGGCTTAAGATTTGGCCCACGACATGATAGAAGATACACGGACTTAAACCATCGACCATGCCAAACCAACACCCCAGAAGGGCCGTGCCATGCGTACCGGCCCGACATGACCCGTTTTACACATCAGGAGAATAGAGGAAAGTAAAGGAAATAAGGAATCACATGCACACAGACTCATTTTTCCAGCTTTACACCGTGATCTAACCCACGTATAACCGGAACCAGTTGGGGAGCGTTCATACTTCATACTTCGAACCGATCCGGTTTAGTGGTTAAAAACCGTTCAAACCCCGCGTATGTATGAAAGCGTCGACCGGATTGTCGGAGCGAGTGGACGCCACCTGGCTCCTGCATTCATTACCACCGGCCATTGGATGTTCCGTACGTACTGTTGACCGTTGATCGTCGGTCAATTATTTTTAGAGAACCTAGCCAACCTGTTCTCTTCTCCCTCGAACCTCTCTCTCCATGTTCACACTATAAAATCCAGGCACTCTTGTAGCTCTTTTCTCTCTCTTTTCCTATCTTACTGCGCAAGATAGAGAGCATAGACACAGAGAGGGACAGAGGGGCGAGAGAAATCAATTAACAGCAGAAGGGACAGCAGCAACCAAGCAACCGCAGAAAGAAATGAAAGATCTCTCGTTTTGATCGGTTGATGGAGAAGAAAGAGACAACAATGGAGACAGATAATTCGATCGGAGCTACGACATTTTCCGATCAGATTCCAACCACTTTCTCTTTATCCAGCATCTTTGACATGTCCTGTGAAGGTGAAAAAGGCTCTTTAGGCATCATGGATTTATTGGGCATCCAAGATTTCACTCCTTCTATATTCGATTTGCTACAGCAACCGTCGACGCTACTACCACCATCACCACCACCGCCACTACCACCGACGTCATCACTTCCGGAGTCGTCTGAGGTGTTGAATTTGCCAGCAACACCCAACTCTTCTTCGATTTCATCATCATCGACTGAAGCAGCAAATGATGAACAGACCAAAGCAGTGGAAGAGGAGGAGCAGGAGAAGACTAAGAAGCAGTAAACTTTTTCTTTTCGTCCTTTTTTTTCCTTATATTTTCTGGGACACTGAATTGTAATCTAATTTTGCTTTTCTTTTTCAAGGAAATTGAAAATTACTGGATGTTTGATTTTGTAATCTATTGGATATCTGTTTCAAATATCAAATCTTTTGCATGTGGTTTCAGGCTGAAACCCAAAAAAAAGAACCAGAAACGGCAGAGAGAACCGAGATTTGCTTTCATGACAAAGAGCGAGGTCGATCATCTGGAAGACGGGTACAGATGGAGAAAGTATGGACAAAAAGCTGTGAAAAATAGCCCTTTTCCAAGGTACTAACCTGCCCACCTTGTCCCATCTTTCTCTGGTAGTTCTGCCCATTTGCTTCCAGCCAGAGGAATTAGATCAGTACATGACATAGACGATAACGAATAGTCATTTTCTTAAGTGTTTGTTTATGTTTTTCTGGGTTTTGATCATTTGTCTATTTTCAGGAGCTACTATCGTTGCACCAGTGCCACATGCGGTGTGAAGAAGCGAGTGGAGAGATCATCAGATGATCCTTCCATTGTCGTGACAACGTACGAAGGCCAGCACACACATCCAAGCCCAGTAATGCCTCGTGGAAGCTCCACCGGAATCTCTTCGGATTCCGGCAGCTACGGTGCGGCCTTTGCCATGCCAATGCAATTGACGCAGTCTCACTTCCAACAACAGCAACAACAACAACAACCCCATTTCCACAACTTACCACCTTTGAATTTTAATTCTAATATTTCTTCGTCTCCTACTTTTGTACAAGAGAGACGATTTTGCACTTCAGCAGCTTCCTTCCTTAGAGATCATGGCCTTCTTCAAGATGTCGTTCCTTCGGATATGATGATCAAAAAGGAGTAGAAGAAATCCCCATTACTGGTATGTAGTCATCTTACTGACTTACAGAGATCACCCTCAGAGAAGAACCCACGTCGATCGTCACATATATATACACAGTCCACTTACCGATACCTCTCCTTTTTTTCTGTTCTTGTCTATGTACCATTTTCTCTCTTGTTTTTGCACCATCACTGTGTTCTGATCGGAGTACTAGTTTCCTAATTGGGTTCTTTGTATTATTCTTGTATTTATGTAGAGAGATTATTCATATTTGGAACTCTAGGGTTTTGTGTTCTTCTTTCTTCTTTCCCTTCACTTGTCTCATATATATCTTTGTTGTTTTGGTTGATGGAACGTGCATTAATTTCATTTCCAGTGTTGCAGCGAGGGTTTTAGTGTTTTCATGGGTTAGAGCCTTCTTCTCCATGGAGCAAGTTGGATACAACCTTTTCAGCTTTTTCTTTGAGTGGGAACCCTGATCAGGACCCACTTTTAGGAAAGTGATGAGACATCTACAAAAATGACTTAGAAACTCGATCAGGTTTCTGATTCTAGGTGCCTGAGTTAAAGCCTAAAGATTGGATGGTTATTGTGATTTGTGAAGAACTGGTGATGAGGTATCTAGATATGTATAGGGGGAGTTGCAGAATGGGAGAACAAGAAACTGATACAAACTCACTTTTGATCGTGTTGAATATTTACTTTATGGCTCTGATTTCCTCTTCTGGGATCTCTTAACTACTCAATGGGTTTGGATCCATTGAATGAATAGTTATGAGATCATGGTGGAGGTATGGACTTGTTATTTTGTATTTGATGGAATGGATGGTTTCTGTACCTCTTGGGTTGAAAAAGCTATATTGTCCATGTGACATTGTCTTTGCCAGGAATGTTGGGCTTACTTAAATTAATGCCACGCTGCTCATGACTATACATGACATGTACGTAGCTAGCTAGCACAGATCGATCAATGCAGAGCTCCCATAATACTATTACAGTCTCTCTATCTGATGAATTTAGGGAGATCAAATAATACAAATTAAATATTTTCTTTCTCTTTCTCTTCTCCTGATGCGTTCATATGGTGTTTCTATAAATTAATTAATTAATGATATATCTCTTCTGCATGTATAGATGTGAAAAAGAGAAAACAAAATATATTAGTCTATTAGATTAAAACAAAAAAATGTGTCAACCACAGACAATTTGGACGGATATCCATGTGATGTACTGCTTATGCATCTATGTGTATGTGCATTAATTGTTCACATACATCAGTCATGGGTAACAGCAACGTTAAACCTGTAGAGGGGTCTGACTCTACTATGGAATTTATTCAGATGTTCTGCAACCTGGGCTTCTGCATTTTTTCTGTTTACTACGTAATATGACCACAATCATGTTTTCTATTTACTGTTTGAATTCAGATCACGGAAGCGTGAACCATGGAGTGCATTCAGAACTCAGAAGGAAAGACTTATCGAGTACCACCATGGCTTTACCTTTTGAGTTTTGACCTACTCTGTGCATGGATCATGCAAATATTGAAACCTTGATTTGTGTCAATGTGTTTGCCTTGAAAACCTACGTCTACAATGATCTTCTCTATGTTTAGGTTGTGTCTAGCTACATAGCAGTAGAATTGAATTAATTGGGAGTGCAAATTAGGCTGTCAAATAATCAAATTCCTTTTGTTCTATTATTTGTTTTGTTAAACGAAGGGTGAAAATTAAATGAACCAGAATAGTTCCTCTTAAATTAGTCATCAATCATTGCATCTGAAAGAACCAGGAGTTGTATATTTATGATTTATGAACTTCAAATAACAAATAGGAGATGCATACTTAAAATAGGACTTAACTGGGCTCTATAGTATTTGATCTGGATCCTGAGTTTTATGGTATTTAACTGATAACGTCTGTGCATTCTCACAACAGAAAGTATGAACAAGGTCGTCAGCTAGTACATCTTCTCAATATAGATGAGGAGGGCTTAATTCTCTAGCCTTCTTTTACAAAGGGAGAGATTAAAAAGAAAAGAAAAGAAAAGAAAAAAAAACTCCCCATACTTGTTCCTCTCTTCTTTCTTTCCTTTTTTTTTTTCTAAAGAACAAAAATTCTTTTCTATAGAGGTTGAAAAAAACAGAAGAAAAAGAGAAGAAATTGTTGAACATTAATTTGTAATTTATGAGAGTTAATTATGAATATGGGAATTAAATAAGAAAGTGTGGGAATTGGGGAGTACTCAAAAATTAAGAAATACATAAATGTGACTCTTGGAGTCCTAATGAGAGTTAATATTGGGAATTGATGCTTTGTTTTAGCTATCAAGAAACTATGCCTACAATATAAATAGAGTAATGTCATCCCTTAATTAAATCAAGAGAAGAAAGAGTTCTCTAAAAGATTCAAGTTTTCTCTCCGTATATTTTTGTAGTCTTGTATTTATCTCCGAGTTCAGTCTATTGTGCCTCGGCCCACTTACTTTCGCTGCCCCAACAGAAATAATTTATACAAACCCCCTAATAATGTCAACAAGGATCCAAATTTTGTTCATAATTTGCGTTAGGATGTATACGCTTTAAAAAAAAAAAAAAGAGTTAAAAGTAAATATAATCTCTGGTCAATCTTTCTTGAGTTTGAGTTAAAAGAAAATTTGAGCACTTAGTCGTACATGAACCAATCAAACTATCAAAGAGAAAAAACCTGATAAATTAAAGGGAAGTTTTAATTATTGCATTTTCCCGAAGTCAAAGTCGTAGAGCCCATTTGTTGGAATGCAAAAAATATGTAATTATCTGCGATATCCTGATGATTTTGAGCTTTCGTTCAATCTCTTTCTAAAATTTAAAAAAACACAAACAGTTGTCCCAAGCAATCCCAAATAGCAGTCTTTGTTGGGGTTACAGGAGTCAGGTTGGATGTTGGGAACCTGCGAATGCGATATTATGAATAAAGTAATCGACTAAATGTATGATATGGACCCTCTATATCACAGTTCACAGACAGAGTCGAATACTGCCATGAAACCATGATGATATTCCTACTTCAAATGGTGGCCCATCCTGCCTGGAAATAACACTGTTGAGTGTTCAACAAATCTCTCATGCATATAATCATCCGATCAATGTCTCAGATTTCTGATTGATATATGTATAGTTCAGGCAGTAAAAACAAACTTCTGTCCAAACTCCACACAGAGGACTACTAGCTAGGGGAAACTGGGAAAGCAGTAGTCAGGGTGAGTTCTTGGCTTGACGGACATCCGGCCGGCCGGTCTCAGACTCAGGACAAACACGGTCTATCTGAAACAGACAATCAAAATATGAAAGATTAAAAGAAGTTAAGGAGACTCGGACTCTAGTGGGGAGTTCTTCATATATTGCTTCATCGATCAGGCAAAGGGTCGTCCAGATTCGATCCTTTGCTGAAACGAATACATGTTGTCGCTTTGGTAGGCGGCCTTCTGGTATGGCCATGTCTGAAGAAGCCCAGATATCTCTGAGCTCTAAAGCCTGCCGTACCGTGCACTGGACAGTCTGGACTTGAGCTTAGAGAAATGGTTCTGGTTCTTCAGTCTTGACCATTTCAATGCAGTTTACGGCTTACCCCATGTACCCAAGTTCCAGCCAGTTAATTAGAAACCGGCAAAGCAGAACTGATGCTTTGGAAACTGGAGCCGGCATGACCCAATGTGGTTTGACCGATTCAACTGTCCTATCAGCACAAAAAACAAGCAGCAAACCCTTCATGGTTTAATTTCAACTTTCAACCATGTTTCAGTGGATATTTTTTCTTTTTTAATATTTAGAATCTGGAAGAAGGTTGAACCGGACGGTTGGTCATGTCCTCCGGGCTTCAAAACAATAAGTTGAGCACAACCCAGATGAGAAAAGCATAAAAGTGAGAGGGAGATGAAGGAAGACTGGAAGAGAAATAACATCATCTGGGGGTTTCAAAGAATAGAAATCGTTGAATGTAATATATCTTCACCCAGCTGCAGCAACAAGGATCACTGGGTCGAAATTGGATGCACAACACCTGGAGACCTTTTGTCCACCCACTATGCTCCACTTGTAATATTCCTGGTTTCTCCAGGTCTGATCTGCAGAAGAATTCATGTTGAGATTTCTTTTCTTTTCTTTTCCTACTTTTAGTTGTGCCAATAACAAAATCATTTAGAGCTTTCAACCGTGTGAATGTGATCAAGTTGAGATTAGGTGGTTCAGTGATAAGTGACAACACAGGGTGTAATGGAAAGTTGAAAATAATGTATGGAATTGTTTCAGAGTAAATTATGGGCACTAATTCATTTGATTCTAGACAAGAGTGATACAGTTACATGGATACATTGGATCTCCTTTTCATACGGAATCCATTATAGAAATCTCTTGCTCAAATGACTTTTATCTGTGCATCTTTCTCTTGTCCTCGGGTGACTTCTAATTATTAGAGAAGCATCTTGTGGAGATCAAAGACTACAATTATAATATTAGCTATGACTAGCTATACCTCCATCTTAGGTCTTTTTTTTAACACTGTTGCAGAAAGCTCAGTGCTCTCTCTCTCTCTTAGATGAAGCCATAGATAGCTCTTACAGTAACATTAATTAATTACAATAGAAAATCATGATCCACCATTTAACGTATCTCACCAAAGAGATTGCATATACAATGAATCAGCATGATCCAAATATTCATATTAAATTAGTGGGTTGCAGTTATCCAATTAGGTAGAATCTTTACCTAAATAATCTCTTAGGGCTGAGGGTCTGAGAGGCTGGGTGCTTTTAATAGTGATTTCTGATTCTCTGTCAAAGTTGTGAATCATATGGGTAAAGGTGGTTTTCCTTTTTAATATTACTCTTTCTCTTAGTATTATTACAGCTTCTAGAAGAGATTTAATTTCTTCTTCATCATTATCATCTAGGCCTTGTTTCATTTATAAAGAGCTTTATTTATTTATTGGTAAAGATAAAGAGCTCTAATTCAGAGAGAAAGAAAAAAAAAAATTTCCTCCAGTCCAAATACAAATTTATTAAAGCCCACAATCATAACATTGAACCAGTTCAATGGTGAGCCCTAATGAGACTTCCTTTTTCTAAATATAGTAAATGTGGTAAAGCTAAAGAGCCCTAGAAGACCCTTTTACCTATTTTTTCTAGCCCTAGACCCACAATAGTTGTGGGGTAAGATCTTTGATATTGGATGCTGCAAAGGAAGGACTAACCCAAGCCCACCTTACCCAACTCTAACTTTCTCTGGGCTTGTGTTCAAAATTTTCAGCTTTGGGCTGGGCCTGAACCTGAAAGCTTGAGTCTACCAAGTTCTTGGACCGGGCTTGGGTTAAGATTTCAGCTGGTCCAAGCCCGACCTAAACTTGCATACTAAAAAATAATAAATCACAAAAATAATGTAAAAAATACCATGAGCCTTAAAACCAAATATCAGGAATAAAAATTTATTATGCCATATCCACATCAGGGGTCATTGCTTGGTCTAATGTTAAAATCTTGGGCTCACAAGTATGAGAATGCAGGTTTAATTTGAGTCTTAAAGCAACCATTTCATTTAGGTGTTTTTTTCAATAATTGGTCAGGGGGTTGGTCTAAGGCCTGCCTATTCCTTGAAATGGGTTAAAACCCCAAACGGGTCTTATTTGGCATATCAATGACCTACCAATACAATATATATCGACTGGTACAAACTGATACGTTGTAAAAGTTTGATCCTTGATTCAATCTACCCTTGTCAAGACCCTAAATAATTTGAAAACAACATTTAGTAATGCTTTTAGCTACCTATATAACAAGATAATTTGGTTAAGGACTGGCTAATAAAGGAAAAGCTTGGGAGAAAGATAAATGGATGCAATGCTACCAAGTTTAAAGATCAAACAATTCAACCAAAGGTATGTTTATTGAAGTCTGGAGGCTGGAACCATGTTCTTTTGAAGAAAAAGAAGGCAAGTATTCTCTCTGACTTGAGTGGGGCCAACTGATCAGTTTGGAGCATATTATTCTACCTAACGCTTTCCACAACTATAAAATCCCTAAAATTATACCTATTGGAGTAATTATCAGCTTTACAATTTTGAATTCTTGATAAATCTCAAGGTGCAAACTAATTGTTATAAATGCATCAGGTTGGTTTTTTGAAAATGTTATAAGTGCAAAATTCTAAAGGCCATAATTTTGCGCTCAGATGTCTGATTAGAAATTTTTTTGGGTAATTTTTCATGATTTATGTGTTCTCACGGTGCCTTGTCCCACTACTTTTTTCCAAAAAATGTCTTTTTTTGGCTTCAAATCTTAATTTTTTATATAAAAATTGAAACTAATTAAAATAACAAATATATTATAGAATAGTATAATTATAAATTTTGAATATATTATAATCTAATATATAATTTATAATGTATTATATTATATATGACATCATCAAGGGTCGGTCCAGAGAGAGAGAGAGAGAGAGAATTCCCCAAATCAATTAATGACTCCCTTTCTGAACTTCTTTCATTAGAATTCGGCTTCGGTCTGAGCAAAGTTGCAAAAAGCTGTTAGAATGGTGTGGGCACAGATTTGGCTAGCCCATCTCCTTAAGGGATGAATCTAATTAATCCCCACTTGAACCCTTGATGAATTGGTTTATTAATTTATTTAATTTATAACCTTTACTGAAATCTGCAAAGCGTGTGTTTCCCTCCGGCCGTGAGCGTGTAAACCTTAACCTTTTTTGGTTCTCTGACAATACAGTGAACTGATATCAGTTCAGAACCCATGAAACAAGGCGCATGGTAAGGGTACACTGATGCAGTGCAATCTGGACCATACGTTGATCATCTACTGGGTATGGTTTTTATAGATTAGGTTGGATCGGTTTGAGTCATTTTTTTTAACTGATTTTATTAATTAAATCAAAATTGACCGACCTTAAAGTAAAATCGACTCAAAACATAAAGGGTCGATTTATCGGTTTAATCGATTTATATATATATATATTTTAAGCTAAAATATCTATATCAAAATGTCTCTTTATATTTAAGTTTATTTCTTTTTAGTTTTTATGTAAAATCAAAATATATATATATATATATATATATATATTTAAATCGATTAATTCTTATGCAAAACTGATATTTTTTTTTGTCAATGTATACTTAAATTTATATAAAATTGAATTAAATATTGTACGCTTATATATTAGATTTGTAATGCTTCAACAATGGAGTAACAGACAACAAATCCCCCTGAATATGAAAAACACTAATCTGGTGGTAGGTAATCTTATCTCTCTTTCAAGTCACAGTGAGAGACAAGAAAAAACTGCCCGGCCCGAGCTCCAGCTGATCGAGGAGAGCAAGTACAAACACGAAGAAGCACATGGCGTTAGGTCTACAGTTTACACTTTACACAACGTACCCATCATGAATTTGACCACTTCTAATGTAAGGCTTGACTATGTCTTTTATTAACCACACACGACACACCATGTATTATAGTACAGACTACAGAGCTAGAGACCTCTCAACGATCGATCCCAGGAGTCTTCTTATTCCTTGCTTGTGCTATCTATCCATATATATAAAGGAGTGAGAGAAGAACACTTTCAGAGCTCGAGCTCAACAAGGTGTTCTAATTAATTAAGATGGTGACCCGCCACCTAGCTTTCACGCTTCTCATGCTTAAGCTTGCCGTCATTGCGTTATCAAGCACGCGGCCGAATCCCTTGACCAAGGCATGCCTCGGCGGTGGTGATGGCTCTCTGCCGGCCGACGCCTACCAAACCACCTGCCCCCAAGCCGAAGCTATCATCTTCTCTTGGGCGGCGAAGGCGGTGGCCGACGACCCAAGGATGGCCGCATCTCTCCTCCGTCTCCATTTCCACGATTGTTTCGTTAACGTACGTGAGTCATCTAATTAGTTTTTAGTTTTAGCCATTCTTAACTTATTACAACACTAGACAATGTGGGTGGTGACTGGTGATCGAGGTCGAGGATTGTTTGTTTGTTTGTAGGGATGCGACGGTTCGGTGTTGTTAGATGACACAGAATCCATGGTGGGTGAGAAAACAGCTGCACCCAACTTGAACTCGCTGAGGGGTTTCCAAGTGATCGATGCCATAAAATCCGACCTCGAAGCGGTGTGCCCTGAGACTGTATCGTGTGCTGATATCCTCGCCGTCGCGGCACGAGACGCCGTCGTTCTGGTACGTAATGTTGAATTGATATCGATCGATCATCAGTTTCCTTTAATTTCCTGCTGCAGCCAGGAATTTACGTAACGTCGTCGGAAATTACAGTCAGGTGGACCTGGATGGGAAGCTCAGACGGGGAGGAGGGACAGCTTGAGTGCCAGCAAGTCAGCAGCAAACAATAACATCCCTGGCCCCAATTCCGACGTGACAACACTCGTAACCAAATTCAACAACGTCGGCCTCTCCCTCAGAGACATGGTCGCCCTCTCGGGAGCGCACACCATCGGAAAGGCTCGATGCTCCACCTTCAGCTCGCGCCTCAAGGGCAGCGGTGGACCTACAGGTGCTAACTCCGGTGACGCAGGAGTGGACTTAGACTTCCTTTCATCACTGCAGCAGCTCTGCTCCGGATCTGATAACACAACATTGGCAATGCTGGACTTGGCAACACCGGCAACCTTCGACAACCAGTACTACGTCAACCTTCTCTCAGGTGACGGACTGCTTGCATCTGACCATGCTCTAGTTGCCGGAGGAGACAGTGGGACACGCGACATCGTTCAGTCCTACGCAGACGATCCGGTAGCCTTCTTTGAGGATTTCAAGGTGGCCATGCTGAAGATGGGGAGCTTGAAACCGCTTACAGGAGAGAGCGGCCAAATTCGTAGGAATTGCAGGAGTGTTAATTGATATTAATATTGAATTAAAAGTTAAAAACAGCAGCATTAATGGCATGCGCTCAGCTAGCTTAGCGTTTGAAGTGGTGTTCTACTTCTAGGCTGCTTCTAGCTCTAAAGGAAATCTGATTCCAGTAGTATGTATGTAATATGCATGTTGTAGGCTTCAAAGTTGTGTGTTGCGTTTGTTTCTTACTTGTTGTTGATGTTGGTTTTATTAATCTAATTATATATATATATATATATATATATTGAGGGTCTTCTGTTCCTTTTTTTTTTTTGATTCATTAACTTTGCTTCTGATTTTTTTGCTAGGAAAACAGCACTGATTTTTTTGCTACCTCTGCCCACATAACACTACAGCTGTACATTGAGAACATCTTCAGTATCTACATGTTATCATTCATGGGGAGATGTTCCCAATGTATAGCTTTAGTATTCTTGTGCGCAGGAGATCCAGAGTCCTACCACTGTTGTAGAATTGTTTTCAGCATTGGTCATGTTATCTAATGTCCAAGATGATTCCACATCATTGCACTGCTGGCAGTAACCAGATGTTTTCTGAAAAAACACCAAATTTGATGTTGCTTAGACCACACTTTCCCAATTTCCAAGGTATGGTCTGAAGCAATGTTAACGATACCAAATAAGAGGCCATTTTCTGAAGCACCGCTTTTTCTTTTGTGGTGCCTATATTTCTCAGAAAACGGCACCAATGCCAAACACCCACAGCACTTCTCAGAAGCATTAGGTACTAACGGGTATTTGAGGGTTGAAATTTAAATTCTCCATTATTATTTTGATTCTCATATTTGAGGAGTGCTGGGCTCAACTTTCACCAAATTCAAAACCAATTAAAGTTTCTCCAATAATACATCAACCTAGCACGCATAGGCTTAGTTTTCCATATTTTAATTTTGGATAAAATATTAAAACCTCCTTTAATGTTTCTGACAATCATAAAAACCTCCCCTGTAGTTTTAAAAATCTTGGAATTACCTCCCTTAGTAGTTAGATCTAATTTAGAGGGGAGGTAATTCCAACCTCCCTTCGTCAATGGCGCCCAAGGAGAGAAAGACCTAGATCTGATAAGCGGTGTGGGCAAGTATTCGAGGTCGCAGATGTACAAGCACAATTTCTAGGCTATCAATGCCAATCTTAAGAATGGTTGCATGTTTCTCCGATCCCAAACCGCCGGCAGAACCGAAGACAGCCGAGAAGCCACCAAATCTACCAAGCTCAGGGGGAGCATTACTATTGGGATGGTGTTGGTTCTTCTCGTTGGGAGGTTTAAGGGGGAAAAGAGTTGCTTCTGCTGTTACTGGACCCTTCAAGATCAATGGTGTTCCCCTAAGGCGTGTGAACCAATCTTATGTGATTGCAACCTCCACCAAGGTTGACATTTCCGGGCTAAATGTTGAAAATTTTGATGACAACTGCTTTACAAAGTAAGATGCATGAAAAGAAGAAGAAAAAGAGGGAGTAGTGCGAGTTATTTGAATAAGAGAAGAGAGGAAAAGAAGGCACTCCCACAGGAAAAGAAAAGATTATCAGAAGTATATATGTTGGTGTAATACAAGGTGTTGAGGGTGTTGGCAGCTAGGTTCTTAAGGCGGGCATGAAACCCCATGAGCTTGTGTTCTAAGGAAACGTTTAAGACTTCTTCTTTATCACCTTCATATTTTGTTTGTTGAGCATTAGCTTTTTTTTTTTTTTTTTCTTTTGAAGAACTGGGCATTAGCAATTTAGGAATCAGACATTTCTTCTAGTTTTAATACCCAATGCAAAAAAAAAAAAAAAAAATTGAAAAATAATAAAGTAACTTTACTTGATAAACTTCTTAGATGGCATTCGAAATTTAGAAGGGGGAATATGGCTTTTTAAATTATGTCCAAAGATACCCTAATGAATAGAAAGGGCAATTTCGTAATTTCCATGTCTTCATTACTGGGGTAATGACACAAGAGAGAGAGTTACAATTTTTTTCAAAAGCACAAAGGGAGGTTTTTGTTAAAGTAAAACTTCAGGGGAGGTTTTTGTGATTGTCATAAACTTCTGGGAAGGATTTTATATTTTACCCTTTAATTTTTCCACCTTATTCAATTTCTACCATTTCAAAGCTAAAATCTTTAGTCAGGTTTCAATTTGGGTTATTATCAAAAACTCTCCTTTACTTTCGTTAGATGATAAACGTCACTTGCAAGATTACCACAATGCCTTTCTGTCCGTCTCTACCCTCTAAAGAAAAATACCTTAAGGGGGTGTTCTATAGTGTGGATGAGAAATTAGTGGTCGTGGACTAGTCCACACCACACTCTGTGACAAGGACCAATCCACACCACACCACAGTCTACAATTGTTCTGAACTATTGATAGATTGTATGGACTGGACCAGTCCACACCCACAGTGGTGTTTTATAGGTGTGGTGTGGACTGGCTTTTGATTCCATGTATCTCACATACATTTTTTGGGAGATCTACATAGTCGATCATAAATGTCTATTTTTTGCATTTTATATGGTAAATAAATTGAAAAAAAAGGCATTAATATATAAACAACAACTGCATTTTTAAATAATTAAAAAAATATTATTTTATTAATAAAAATATTAAAAAATAATATTTAAATAATGAAAAAAGAGTTGAGAAGTAGAACCGTCAGACTTGTGTTGGAATTAATATTAAACAATATTACTTTATTGATAAATATTAAAAATTTAAAATTTAAAAATTATTAAAAGACTAAATAAAATTAGGGTAATTAGACCAATGTAACGCATGTGCGTTACACTGAAACCTTCGCACAAACTGTCCACACCATAGTGTGGACCATCTATGAGAAAATACTATAGACGATAAATTGGGGTGTGGCTCATCCTTGTCTACGCTATTTTGTGGATGGAGACCGTCTACACATAACAAAACACCACATCTTACCGTAGACAGGACCAAAACGGTCCCGTTCACAATATTTACACACTACCGAATGCCACCTAAGTCGGCATTGTTCATTCATACAACCAACTCCATTTCATAGTTATCTCACTCAGAAACTTACAGATGCCCTCTCCCAAAGTTGCTTTTGCCAAAATCCTAAGGCTAAGTTTGGGAGTGCTTAAAATAAGTGTTTATACGAAGAAACCCAAAATTTGGGCTTATTTTTAAGTGCTTATTTCCTTTGTGGCCTATCTTGGCCCACCATATCATTTTTAAAATACCTATACTACCCTTACCCTTGTTTAAAATAAGTGCTTTTCACCCAATGCTTATAGGCCCTTTTGATTTCACTTAGAATAAGAACTTTTTATAAGCACTTCTTTTAATTGTTGGGACCACACATTAAATGGTAATTAAGTGCTTGTGTATGTTTGGTAAAAAAGTCAGCTATAAGCGCTTTTCTTTTAAATAAGCACTTAAACAAAAAGTGACTTGGGAGTAGCTTTTTTTCAGCACTTCTTGGAGAAGTGCTTATTTGAATAATATGGGACGATTCAGTCCCTAGAATTTTTGTAATCCCCATTATACCCCCATGAGGGTTTTCTTCCCTCATCCTTCCATTCGAACATAAGGAGACGTAGGGGCAACACACCAAACATCTTGGTGACCAGCAACCACCGACGGCGCGAGGAAAACAATTAACGATCAAGTCATTTTTCTATTTTCCACCGTTTTATGCATTTTTATTTTGATTTGAACCGGTTTTGTGAACTTTTTTAACACCTAAAACTTCTTTTCTTTTTGTGTTCTCAAGTCTGTTTTGGGGTGTGTTTAACGGCAACAACACACCGTCCAGACGCTGACGAATGAAGGTTAGTTTGCCCAAACGAACACCCTCCATGTTTGATGTTGTGTTTTGGTTTTTTTTGGATGAATATTTGGTCGAAATCGATTTTTTTTCAGATTTTCATAGATGAAATCCGAAATATTTATGTTGGGTTTTTTGTGCATTGTCTGTGTGATTATTCCTATGGATAAGTAGGATTTTTTTTGGCGTTTTTTGTTGAAGATCATGCAAAAAATATGCTGAAGTATGTGCTTATAAAATTTTTTCTTGATTTGTTTATGAAATATAATGTTGTTGACTTTGCATACCCCAACATGACTGGATACATGGCACCCTATCGTAATACATGGTACCATTTGCCTAATTTTCAAAGGGGAGAGTGGCCTATAACAAAAGAAGAGTACTTCAACAATGACCATGTCTCGTTGAGAAGTATCATCGAGCAGAGTTTTGATGTGTTGAAGACTCAAATCCTATCTTGAAGTGTATGTCGTGCTATTCACTAAGAACACACGGTTGATAGTTGTGGCTTGCATGGCAATACACAACTTCATCAAGGACAACTAGAACACGAATACCATGTTTAACGAGTTTGAAAATGATGAGGAGTTCGAAATCCAAGCTCCATCTAAGACAAATGGAGAAGATATTGACGAGATTGCAGTTGGCAGTGTGGATCAACAACAAGAGATGTTGTTTCTTAAGCAACAACTTGCAGATGCAATATATGTTGACCATGCCTCGGCCACCATTGAGGAGGTGTAGGTTAGCATAATTTGTTGGTGGTCATGGTCTATGTTTTTCTCTAATTTTAATCAATAGTATGCATTGAATGCGGATGTATTTGACTTTAACCTGTGCATGTACTTTGTGTTTTGGTTACTTTATGTTTATCTAGTAGTTGATGATATATATTATCTCATTACAAGTCATTAATGGATGGTAGGAAATATTATATAGTGTTCATTGGTCGTCGCCTAGGTATAGGTTTATACAATACCTAGGTTGAATGCAATTTGTAGGTCCACCTGTATAGTGGTGCGACATTTTGCTCATATAAAGCATACGAGGAAGCAGATTATCAATTTCATCATTTCATAGCTTCACATGATTCTTCAACTAACCCATCGCTTTATACGAATGATGTATCCAGATTAACCTATGTATACTAGGCATCCACATGTGTTTTGTTAGTTGATGTGATTACATTGGGCATAATGTACATGTCTAAGTAAGATGCAACTTTACAAACATTTGCACTTGTATGTTACTATAGGGTACATTAACTGAACATGGACATGGATTTTCTGATATTTTCTATTTGTTTTCATATATAATTAAAAGACAAAAGTTAAAACCCCTTTATTAAGTTAGGTTGTTTACTAAAAGTATTTTTGTAAAAACTACTCCTTGAAAGTACTTCCTAAAGTGCTTTGTGAAAATTGTTCCTTGAAAGTACTTCCTAGAAGTATTTTGTGAAAACTACTCATTAAAAGTACTTTCTAAAAGTATTTTATAGAAACTACTCATTAAAAGTACTTCTTGGAAGTATTTTGTGAAAACTACTCCTTGAAAGTACTTTCTAGAAGTATTTTATGGAAACTACTCATTGAAAGTACTTTATAAAAGTATTTTGTAAAAGTTGCTCCTTGAAAGTACTTTCTAGGAGTATTTTGTGAAAACTGCTCCTTGAAAGTACTTTCTGGAAGTATTTTGTGAAAACTACTCCTTAAAAGTACTTTTTGAAAGTATTTTGTGAAAATTGCACCTTGAAAGTAATTCCTGTAAGTATTTCGTGAAAACTACTCCTTAAAAGTAATTCCTAGAAGTATTTTGTGAAAATTGCTCCTTGGAAGTATTTTATGGAAATTGCTCCTTCAAAGTACTTTCTAGAAGTACTATTCAATATTTATTATTATTATTATTTTTTTATTGTTGTTGTTATTATTATTTGTTGTTGCTGTTGTTGTTGTTGTTGTTATTCATTATTTTTTAAATATTTGGGTCTACGTGGCACTCAATGTGTGGGCCCACATGGGCTCTCATGTGCAAGGTTCTAAATATTGGCACAGGCCCGATACGCCCTAGCGTATCGGCCTGTGTCAATGTTTTTTTTATGTGTTTTACTTATTTTTTTGAAATCAGTTCAGAGGGGTCGGTTTAAGGCCCGACTACCCTTTGAACCAGTGGCTGACCTGATACACCCCTATAGGGGAGTATCGGGAAGCAACTGGCACGATACGTATCAACCGATATGGGCTGATACGTGTCGATACTTTGAACCTTGCTCATGTGTCATGAGGTGGTGATGTGGTGATTTTTCATCGAAACGTATAGTATAATATATGAAAAGCATTGTTTATATATGTGAGTGAAATGAGGGTTAAAATTATCATTTATGCTAATATAAGCACTTGTGGGGAAAGTAGCTCACCAAACATCCCCACCCAAATAAGTGCCTAAGAAACACAATAAGTGATTTGGCAAATGGGCCACCAAACAACCTTAAGTGGTTATTAAAATAAGCATGTACAACAAACACTTGTGCAACAAGTGCTTATGATGTAGTGAAATTTGGTTGCTCCCTCATGCCAAGTGATTCGAACGATTCCTTGTCAGGGCCAAGTTATGCTAGGTCGAGCTGTTGATGTTCTACAAGAAAGATGGTTAAAGTGCCCGAGCTATCTTTACTCGAGGTGGGCACTCCGATGCTTAAGTTAGAAAATGTTTTTTAGAATATTTTAGAAAATGAAAGAGTTTGAGAGCTTGTAATCGTGCGTACCTTCTCTAGAAGGAATGAAGACCTTTTATAGGTGTGAGTGGTTTGAGCCCTCTTACAACGGGTCTCATGTTCTCATGGAACCGTTTTTGCTTGATTGGGTGAGTTATTACATCGGCTACGAAATCTACATGGGGGTTACGGTCCGTCCAAATAACTCTAATGCGTGTAGTGCGGTAGGCCGATCTAACGGTCAACGCATTAATGCTCTGGAGATCTCAAGCTGGTAATGTATCTTTGAAACAAGTCAGCAAACTCGCTTGGCAGGTCGCCATAGGTTCCTACAGCTCGGTCAGTCTCTAAAGCAGGTCGCCATAAGTTGAGAAACCTATCGACTCAACCCGACCGAGGTGGAGGTCGGCCTGAACGAAGTGCTTTAGGCCGACTTGCCAAGCCAATTCACTTAGTGCCGAGGTGTTGCTTGAAGGCGACGTGTCACAATGTGATTCAGATGACCAAATTACCCCTTATCAGCTTATTTTAACAACCATTTAATCACCAAACATAGCCATAAATCTTATTAGAATAAGCTCTTATTTTTCAGATAAGCACTCCAAACAATAATGATGAAATCCACTAATTTAACCTATGCATTGTTGGGCGTCCAAGGTGAGGCAACATTATATGTATATATACATATATATAGGCGACGCAACACAACCATTTATACTTTTTATATTTTTTTGTAGTTTGTAGTCACGCCCTACGAGATCAACATGTTGATCTTCACCTTGTATTATGGAAAAAGATTAATTTGCCAAAGTGTACTTTAAGGTGAGATCTAGTGTTGCAATTGATTGGGATTCAGATTTAAGTTAACAACCAAATCTAGGATAATTAGATCAGATGTCGAATACAGTATTGGACTTTTGGAGTCTATTGGCAACTCTAATGAGAACAACCACATCATTCTGGGACATTTTTGCCTTAGGCTCAGTTTGGAAGGAGTACAAATGCATAATTCTATTTATATAAGGTTAACTTTGTTAGTCTCAGTTCGGAAGGAATATAAGTGCAAAACCATCTAATTTGTATTATTTTATATGTGTACTGTACATATTTATATTTGTATTTGTACTCCTTCCAAACTGGACCTTAATAAAAAAATAATAATAAATGGCCCAGATAGATCAAGATATTGGACTTATAGAAAGGTAATTTTGTTATATACGAAACATTCTGATAATGGGGGCTTCTGGAGGGCTTTTCGAAAAGCCAAGATAAGTTTAACAGAATACAATAAAATTGGATATATAAACAAAATGCATTAAAAAATCAGATGGATCGAATTGACAAAAGGGAGACCTGGTTCACATTAAATAACAGTTGTATTTTATTCATATAATTTTAATTTTCATGAACAACTAGATTCTGAAATTAAGCGTGAGGAAAGACGCAGATTTCATGAAATAGCAGTGCGGAAAATTGTAAAAGCAAGGGGTAGTGTGCCCCCAAAACCCCAAATATCCATGCATTAAGCAAAAAGAGCATTTGAGCTGCAAATCTGCAAACTGCAATGCATTTCTCATATCTCAACTGCAATAATACGCACGCTACGTGAGAGTTCGGTTCGGTTCTGGTCAAAACCCCCCATACTTTTATTTTTTACTATTACCCATTTTATTTAAGTGATATATAGATATATATATATGGCACAGGGAAAAAGAGACTAATATTAAATGACGTTGATTTTTTTTTTCTCTCTATTTTCATTCGTTTGAGCAGACGAATGACCGAGACAAATGAACCTCCTCAAGGGGGTTGATGGCTCAAGAAAGTAAAATATTGCCGTTACACATTCCATTTTACCCCCATTTAGTTGCCAAGCCTGCCTTGGATCAAGACTGGTTGACCACAAATCGGTTCTGGGGTAATACTTCCTCTGCCGGTATGCTGCCTGAGATGCGCCTTATTTTCCCCTTCAAGTTCCTGCTGATGAACAATGATTCCACCACAATTAGAACAAGGAGAAGAACATAATATTATTCAGTGCACAATCTTGTAATTGTAATTTTATACATAATCACATAAAGCAGATGTGAGCAAGAAACGCCTAGTAATTAATGACTATTGTGCCCAATTGGGTCCAACCAAATGAATATTTTAACCACTGAAAATGTCAAAATTTTATTTTGAACTGAAATGGACAATTTTCCCAGGAGTTGCGAGGGCCATCCAAAGCCTTAACCCACTAGTGATTCCATGCAGACAACCATCATTGATGAATAAAAACTGAATGTAGTTAAAATTTTTTATCATGCACCAATCAGCTGGACATCAAAGACAAGGTCAAAACATCCCCTGAATATACCTCATTTTTTATTAAAATCCCTCAAACCGTATATTGTGACTTTATCCCTTACACTAACTTCTGTGAGTAAATTTTATAGCCAGAAGAGGGAGACAGTAAAAAAACCTGCTGGCTTGCTCTTCCACATCCAATCCTGCACAGACCGTACCCCCTGCAATAGTTGCGTAAGAGTAACTTCAATAACACTGAGATAAAGATTTGGAGAGGTTATCAATGGATTAACACTAAATTACCTGTTGGAAAGAAGCAGGATCAATGACTGACCCAGCTGCTGCTGGAAGCTGTCCATAACCAGCAAGTTCCTGCAGAGATGCAGTATCCAACTGATGAAAATTTCCTTGAAATTGGATTTGATTCCCAAAAGAATAGCATCAATGGTAGTCGCAGGATTGTTATTAACATTGTTTCTCATGTGCTGTAGAACCATAGACTGTTTTATAATTTCAGTCAAAGCAACCATTTGACTACCAGTTTTTCCAACAACGTTCTCCAATCTGGGAATAGTTCAAGACAAACCAGAATACACCCTTGGAGGGGTATTAAACTTCTGGCAATTGGCCATCGCAACTTTAATGTAATAATCATGCAGCACATGATTATTGACCAACAACTTCCCTCCTGTAAGCACAAGCCTAGAAATCTGGAATGAATTAGGACATTTTGCCAGAATGTGACTGCTGAAGCATCAACACATCCAGACTCGTACTACAGCCATCCATGAAAACGCAAGGTGCAATTTTGGGAAATTTTCTGATTAGTACCCTGTACTTTGGGCCTAGTGCCACTTTGGTCCCCAAACTTTAAAATGTGACAATTCAGTACCCAAACTTTCAAAACGTGCCAATCCAGTACCTGTCATTAACCAGCCGTTAAGTGGCATTGAAAAGACACAAATGCCCTTCAAGTGTCATTTAATTTTCTTTATTAACCATCCAAACATTAACAAAAAATGAACAGTCCCAAATCCTTTTCTATTCAAAGAAAGTTGGGGTCATGACTCAGTGGGCATTCTGGTTACCCCAACTTTCTTGAATAGAAGAGGCAAGGATTTGGGACTGTTCATTTTTTATCAAAGTTCAGATGGTTAATAAAGAAAATTAGATGACACTCGAAGGGCATTTGTGTCTTTTCAAATGACACTTAACGGCTGGTTAACGACTGACTAACAGTAGGTACTAAATTGGTACGTTTTGAAAGTTTGGGTATTAAATTGTTGTGTTTTAAAGTTTGGGGACCAATGTGGCACTAGGCCCAAAGTACAGGGACTAATAATCAGGAATTTTCCCTGCAATTTAATAGGCAGCACCATCTGCCCATTGCGAGTGACAAACATACTTGGAGGTCCAAATATCAAGTTCTACACTGCTTCAAATTTGATTGCACTCCCACCTGATACAAAATCTGCACCTCTCATTTGCACTCATAGGCATCAAATTTTGCACCACTTTACTCCAACCTTCATTTCTTCCATATAAAGTAAGGAGAACTTGCATTCCCATGCATTTGCACAAAAAAGTGGAGACCGCTTTGCATTCCCATTTTCCCCTCCACTTGCTTCTCAAACAAATGAAACAAATGAAAACCCAAAAAAAAAAAGTGAACCACAAAACCCCCACTCAACTTGTAATACCATATATTTGCACCAAAAAATGGTGCCTAAGGGACTTTTCCTTCAACAACTAACCATCATTTGGACTCTTCAAGGGCATGATCCATTGACTGGTCAGATTATGTCAAAACTTTAAAGCTATAGTTAGCATTAAGGATCCAGGTTGACAAGAGTTTAGTAAAAGGCTTTAAATGGAGGAATGGGGCACATGTAGCCAACCCCAAATAGTTAGGAAAAGGCTGAGTTGAGTTGAGTTGGAAAAAAAAATAAGAGGCCTAGCATTCTAGAACCTCATGGTGTATAATAAGTGAAACTTGCAGAATTTTTTATTTTCTTTTAAATATGGGATAATGTACATTCAAATCACAAATAGAGGACGAAATTTCCATCTCCCTCCCTTAGGACATATTTGTATTAAGTTGGGGAGGGGGGGATTTGGTCAATGGGAAAGTTGACCAACTTTCCTCTAGGAGGGAAAAATGCCAAAACACCGGCTGACAAAATTGCCCCTTGTAAGAATGGAATATATGGGTAAAAATTAAATTGCCTAACTTACCTGAGTAAATTTCAAATTAAAAGAACACAGGTAAATAAATGCATTTACCCAGGAAAGTGTTACCTGGGAAACACTTACCCAGGAAAGTAACTTACCAAAAAACAAACAAGGCCTTAAAGCGCAAGAGGTGCCCCTGAGAAACAAGAAGCCTCTGTGAATCATGCCCCCCCCCCTCCCCTTTCCACCTCAGAAAAAGGGTGGGGTTTTGAATATGTGTCATGTCAATTCCTGTGCCATTACATTGGGTTTTGAATACATGTCATGCAATTTCTGTGCCAAGTTTTACACTGGTTCAAATATGGAGCCTTTCAACAACTACAGTATTTCTCACTCCAAAAGCACAGTATGGAGGATTTGAACATATCAATCACAAAAGGGGGACATCTTGAGTTTTTATGCTAAGAATAATTCACACATAACCTAAAATGGGCTTAGAAATAAGGTTCGGGCTTCAAAGCTGTATCAGAACAAAGCTCTGAATTGCCATCTTAGAGAAGACAAAACTATCATGAAAGAATTTATTATTATGGGATATCCCTGCCACCAAAGTGACAGCATGGATTCAAGATATTAGATGGATAGATACATGCTAACAAGTGAAAGGACATTAGGAGCTCCTACTAAAAACGATGGCTTTTTAACTAGGAGCAAAAAGGTAACTAAGATGTGCTAGAAAAGACCATGCAAATTCTTAGGTTGGTCCTTCACCCTTGTCTTATTGCTTTTCCGTTTTAGGGATCTAATCTGGATCAAATTTCATTGCTAAATTGCATAATATGAATGGAGAAATTGACTTGAACCTGTGAAAGTTACTGTTTAATGTCCACTAGATAAGTACATTTCTAACAAGATCACTTACACAGAAACTGTGTTTACCTAGTGGTTCAACAACACTTGGTCTACTAAAATTTTTTAGAATAGATGTCATAGTTCCTTGAAATCTTCAAACTTGAGACGTTAAGGTCCCTTTGGTTCCAATAAAAGCTTCAAAATTCAGGTTTCCAATTGAGTACATTACACTCAAATTAATATCTCTGTCTGTGTGCATGCTTAAATTGGCAATATATAGGCAATATATATCTTTACATAGAAAACCCAAAGCACCTAAGACTAAATTGACCTTGAAATAGTAATACATAGTAAAAAGAGCCCTTAAAAAGTTACTAAATGGAGATGAATAAAAGCACATTTTTTAATAGCAAACATATTACATGTTGATCCATTAATTAATTATGTAAAGACAGGAATATACCTGAACACTTTGATGGCCAAAAACACCAGAAACCTGATACTATAATCAAATTTGTGAAGTTAGGCAACAGAAAAAACGAAAACATTTACATTTATAATAAATCAGGTGATACAAGACTAACCGGAGAAGATAAAGAAGGTTGCTGCACTTGTAACTGCTGTTGATGGCGAAGCTGTGTTTGGAGTTGTCCTTGTGGTGTTTGAGAAACCTGTTGGGCAGACAGAACCTGCATGTGTGGTTGTGTCTGTGTCTGGGGTTGCTGAACTGATGGTTTTTGTTGCTGCTGTTGTTGATTTTGCTGCTTCTGTTGCTGTTGTTGCTCAAACAAGGTCAACTCCTCAGGCTTTTCCCACTACACATCCATTTCAACAAGCATTGGTTATATCTGCTTAAGATGGACCTAAGATGACAAAAGAGAGAAACAAAGGAGACACTTACCCTGCTTTCACCAGTCACACTATTATAGTAGTACTTGTATCCTTCGGGTGATGTGTGCTCTGTCCAATTACATGTTGAAGGAACTGCTGCCTGCACACTTACAGGAACAGTGGAAGCAGCAGACGTGGTTGAAGGTGCCAGAGCAGCTGGGGAAGTTGCAGGAATGCTGGTGGCTACCTGTGATGCAGCTCCAGTCCATTGAAGCTGCAGGTAAGATGTTTCACCCACAAATCAATCCAGCAGCTTTTAAGATTTCGTGGCATTAGAGTACCAACCTAAGCAGTCTCATTTGGATAATATATTTCTTGGCATCAGAGCACAGTCTCTTACAAGGTGTTGTTTGGCTTTGATTCAAATGGAGGTGTGCGGGAGTTTTTGGTCTCAAGGGTTAAGGGATGTCTAAGTGGTCCTTGGTTGAGTTTGATGGCTTTTGGTCTTTCAAGTCCAGTGTATTATTTCTTTTTCGAGTGAATTTTCCTTTTACTATCAAAAATAAAATAAAATAAAATCAGAGTCCGGTCTCTATTAGCAGGTCCAGAAAGATGGACTTTTTAAGTCCCAACCAGACGTATTTATGGGCTTAATTTACATAGGCCCACAGGATCATACATAAGCTTAGCAATTGGACACATTCAAACATGGACTAAGCTGGCCATAGAACCCATATAAGTTAGGCCTAGACATGTAACCAGGGCAGGCCCTAGCCTAGCTTGTGAGGAGGGCTGGGCTCGGTGACAATAACACAAAGTCTAAATCTGCCCATAAAAAATCCTACACAAGTTGTGTCCCAGATAAGACCATCAAAGTGATTGGTCCAATTACACAAATGTAATAAACCATATTTTTATCAGACTGGAAAACCACCCTTGCTACTCAAAAGACATCCTCATTTAGCATGGACATCTAAACATTGATGGATCAGCCGAATCTGTAGTACCTGTTGTTTAGTAGCTTGGGAACTCTGTTGCTGAGTCATATTTTGACTTGGTGGTTGCATCAGATGCAACTGTTGTTGCAAGTGGGAGAATGCTTGCTGTGATGATTGAAAGCTTGCCTGTAGAGTTTGCGTCTGTTGAGATAGCATCTGAGCCAAATGAGAGGGTGACTGCTGTAAAGGCTGAAGTAATTGTTGCCGGACGGTAAGAGCAGAAAGCTGTTGTTGGGTTGTTGTGGCAGAGACAGCTTGCTGTTGTAAGTTTAGAGGGGTTTGTTGTGGTGCAGCAGAGGAGGTGCTCTGTTGACCTTGAGGCTGAGATATGGGCAGCTGAGAACTCAACCCAAATAACTGTTGTGATGGCAGTGGTTGACTGAAGGATGGACCAGAAGATTGAGGAATCTGTAGCTGACCAAGTTGCTGGACTGATATCTGGGACGTTTGTGGCTGTGAGTAAGTTGGTGGAATTTGTTGAGGGTGTAGTTGGTGGGAAGGTGGCAAATGCTGCGGAGACTGAAGAGGCTTCTGCAGTGGTGATATTTTCTGACCAACTGCTTGAACTTGGGGCACAGATGGGTTGAAATTCTAACATAAAAGGCCAAAAAGCACTTCAGAATTAAATAATTGAGAATCAAGTGAGATCATAAGAGCAAATACATTTCAAATATCCATAAAAAAGTATAATCTAATACAGTACCTGTTGTGAAGTTGAAGAAGGTAAGACCGAAAGCCCCGGAAGAGAACCATTTGCAGGGCCACCAAGCAGTCCCAGGGGGGCACCCTTAAGAAAAGATCAATAAGACAGAATGAAAGTAAAGTCTTTTAGTTTAAGCTGCACATTTTCAAGCATTGCCAAAACTCAAAAGGCTCAAGCCATACCTGGTTTTCTAGCATTCATACAGGGAGAAGTGGAAATTAATACATACCAAAAAACTGATTAAATGTAATGAACAGAACTCAGAAGCACATTTTTTAGTAAAGTTACAAATTATCCATGGCTCTGTCCTCATTTCTATATGTAGATTCATGCTAATACATCTTGGGGCATGGCCAACCAGGGGCCTAATTTATTGTCTAGGCAATAAACCAGCAGCGATGCAATTTAGGCTGCGCTTTACCGGCCCAACCTCATTAAAACTCAGATTTTCAGTGTGAATGGGCTGTATTACAGTTGAAAAAGATGAAGCCAAATTGAATCTGGTTGAGATTGAGCAATCCAAGCCCCCACTAGGCATGCATGTTTCTGCAAACACATATACATGGAGACAGATCTTTTATCAGTCAGATGACACTAAATGACCAGGAATCTTCCATGTGACAATGTATTTGGGCCTCAAAAACAAACACATGCAATTGTCAAGCATCCACATGTGGGGATGGATCTTTTAGTGGAGTCTAAGAACTCTAACTGACTACTTATCTTCCATGTGGTAATGTATTTGGGTCTAAAAAGGCCCTGCATGTTCCTCTCACCACCCTCTATCCATGGGGTGAATTTAAGCTTTAAACCCTGCCATGTGTTCAAAATAAGCCCTTCATTGGATGAATACTTTAAGCTAAAATATTGGACATTTGGACTGTCAAATAACTCAAGAAAAAATTTAATAGAAGATGGGATATAAGTAACAGCATAGATTGCAGGAATAAACATTACATCCAATTTTGTTCTGGGACTGTAATCTCCATAAGCGTACTCGAACTGAACAAGAACTAAGCCCTTTCTTTTCTCTAGTTCTTGGTCTGGTTACCAAGAACAGGCAGTGGTCTGCTTTGGCTGAAGGATATAGGGGTGGTCTTAACCCCATTTGTGGATCTGTAGATCCAGAACTGTGTGAATGTTGGAGCTCTGTAGGTCTTGAATGACCTGGTTCAGTTTACTGAAGTACTACAGCAGCCCTATTGATGCTTTGTGTGGCTTGTACTAGCCTCAGTGAGGTCTGGTAGACCTGCTAATGTGTGTAACATAAAGTGCTGTACTTTTTGGAACTTCCTTTTGATTCAAAAGAAATTACTCTTCGAAGTAGGGGCTGCTGTCCTCTGTGTGTGGGCTGTAAGAACAGAAATGGGGATCATTGATAAGTGATTTACTTATGGCTTATGAAGACTCTGCAACTTCAGGAACCACTTCAAATCAGAGTGGTTTGAACAGTGGCCATGATACAGCAAACCTCCCAATGACTATTACCCCATAGATGGTAGAAATTACTTGGGATGATCTAAGGAGATGCAGTTGTACATTACAGCCAGGGGTAAAACTGAATATATAAATGGAAAAGTGAAAGAACCTAGGGCTGGAACTGCTAAATATGAGAAATGGGACCAAGAGAACTACATGATTACGCCTTGGCTTTTGACATCCATGTTATTCTCTGTTAATCAGAACTTTATGTGGGTTCAAACAGCAAAAGAAATATGGGAACAAACAAAGGCCACTTACTCAGAACAAAGACATTATGCCAGAATCTATCAGCTTCAGGCAGAATCCTCAACATGTAAGCAAGGGAAAAGGAGTTTATTAGCTTACTATTCTGCACTCACTTCAGTCTGGAAAGAGTTGGATTACTACCAAAGTATTGAGTGGGAGTGAGAAAGATGTTAAAGCCTATAAACAGTTGGTCTCTCAGCAGCGTGTCTTTGCCTTTCTACTAGGGCTGAATCCCATGTATGAACTTATCAGAGTGCAGATCTTAGGCAGTAAGGACCTCCCTTTTGTCCAAGAGGTGTATGTTCTAGTGCAATCTGAGGATAGTAGGAGAACAGCTATGAATCCTCCTGAGGGTGAGTCTATTGCTCTAGTGGTAAGATATAACCCAAGTTCGGAAAAAAGGGGGGAAGGCCGGAAAAGAGTGGATGATAAAGATAAGTTGTCGTGCACCCATTGCCAGAAATCCAGGCATACCCGTAAGACTTGTTGGGAACTGAATGGGAAACCTAAATGGGCACAAGAACTAAGCAAGAAATCAGCAAAGGAATGGAACAAGAAACCAAGTCAGAAGAAGTTCACTTCAGCAAACTTGGCATCTCAAGAGTCTTAGAATAATCTTTCTACTATGAGTTCTACTCAAGGTTGCCCTCCTAGCTCTGATCTCAAGGAGGATATTATTAACTCCTTTGTGACCATTTAGGGCACTTCGCCAGGCAGATTCTGGATTCACACCTACGGTTTCTTTTGCTTCCTCCTCAGGTAACTCAGCCTTCATTTTCCATGTATCTACTGACACTCTGGAATCCCCATGGATTATTGATTCAAGTGCTTCAAACCATATGACTGGTAAGTCAACCCTTTCCAATCATACACCATTCTCTCTAGCAGAGATAAAGTGAAATTAGTTGATGGCTCCTTCTCCTCCATTACTGGTCAAGGATCTAAATCTCTACCATTTGGCCTCTCACTATCAAATGTCTTACAAGTCCCAAAGTTGCCTATTAATTTGTTATCATTTAGCAGTATTACCCATTCTTTGAACTGTTCAATAATCTTTTTTCCACATTCTTCTGTTTTTTAGGATTTGACCTCCAAGAGGACAATTGGTAGAGGAAACATGGTTGATGACTATGTGCTAGAGACTAAAGTTGGTGTTGAAATCTCAGAGTCTGCGTGTCAGTCAAGTTATTTTGTGGCACCATCACTTGGGCCATATGTCTTTTGAGTCCTTAAAATACTTGTTTCCAGAATTATTCAAGTCAGTGTCAGTTGATGATTTTCAGTGTCGAGTATGTCAATAGAGTAAGCATTGTAGAACTTCATTTCTTTTACGTAATAAAAGACCAGATTTTCCCTTTTATCTTGTGTATTCTGATGTGTGGGACCTTGTTAATATTCCAACTAAGAATGACTACACGGGTTTTACCCTATGCACCTTCAACAAAAAGTCCCTAAACTGGTGAGAGATTTTCAGAGCATGATTTATACTCAATTTTAGATAGAAATTCAAGTGTTTCAGTCAAATAATGCAAGAGGACTTCCATAGTGATCTCATAGAATTTTTTGCATCCTATGGCTCCCTCCACCAGAGCTCCAATGCCAAAACCCCGCAACAAAATGGGGTTGCAGAGAAAAAAATGGATGCAGTCCTGACTACTGATTATATTATCAACAGGTCGCTATCTCGGTTACTAGGATATAATTCCCCTCATCAAATCCTCTTCCCTAAGGCCACATTATTTCCTATACCCATGCGAGTCTTTAGTTGCCAATGCTTTGTTCATGATTTATCCCCTACTCGTGGTAAGCTTGACCCTAAGGCTATTGTTTGTGTTTTCCTTAATTATCCTCTTTCTCAGAAGGGCTATCATTGCTTTGATCCTACTTCAAAAAAAATACTTTTTGTCCAATGGATGTCACCTTCTTTGAAAATGTTCCCATTTTCCCTTTTTCTCCTCTAGGGGAGAGTTCAGGTGAGGAGAAATAGAAACAAACACAAGTTTTATTACCTTCTCCTCCTGACCCTCCTCCATTCCATGTCTTCCACATACAACGATACAAAAACTAAGGCCAATAGGGTTCAACAACTGTGGAGAAACCTGAAGCTATGCCACCAATGCCATTGGACTCTCAAATATTAGATCCCTCACCCCATCCAGGTACCATTGTTCCAGTTGATATTCCCAAACCTATTGATATTGATACTTCAAGTTGTGATCTGGACCTTCCTATTGCAAAAAAGGAAAGGTGTTAGGTCATGCACTACTCACCATCCTATGGCTCATTTCTTATCTTATGAAAACATCTCACCCTCATTTCATGCCTTTCTTTCTGCCATTGATAGTATCCCTCTTCCTAAGAGTGTTGCAAAGGCCTTACGTGTTCCTAAGTGGACAGATGTAATGAAGGAAGAAATCAATGCCCTACATAAAATCGAACGTGGAAGTTGGTAAATCTTCCCAAGGGAAAGGAACCTGTGGGGTGCAAATGGGGTAGAAAAGGGTTTTACGCAGGTCTATGGGGTTGACTATGCAGAGACTTTTGCTCTTGTGGCAAAGATGAATTCTACCTGGATTCTTCTCTCTTTCGCAGCAAATCTGGATTGGCAACTCCATCAATTAGACATCAAAAATGCCTTTCCAAATGGTGATTTGGAGGTGTACATGATCCAACCTCCTGGGTTCTGTGCCAAGGGATATGAACAAAAAGTATGCAAATTGAAGAAGTCTCTATATGGTCTAAAACAATCACCAAGGGCTTGGTTCAACAAATTTCATCAAGCAGTTCCATAGATGGGTTTTAAACAATGTCAGACTGATCACACTTTCTTCGTGAAGAAAGAACGGGGAAGAACAATAGCCTTGATTGTTTATGTGGATGTCATAGTCATCGTTGGTGATTGGGTTTGGGTCTTAGAGATTCAAAGGGTAAAGAAGGTCTTGGCCACTCAATTTAAGGTAAAAGATCTAGGACCCCTTCGTTACTTCCTTGGGATTGAAGTTACTCGCTCTCAATAGGGTATCTTCACTCCTAAAGGAAATATACCATAGATCTCCTAAAAGATACAGGAAAACTTGGAGCCAAACCGGGCAACACTCCTATAGATGTAAATCACAGACTCAAGGACTGCAATGATGAGCCCATAAAAGATGCAAAGCAATACCAAAGACTTGTGGGTAGACTCCTGCACTTATCTATGACCAGGCCAAATATTGCATATGCAGTAGGAGTCCTTAGTCAGTTCATGCATGCTTCCAAGGTTGCCCACTTAGAAGCAGCAGATCAGGTTCTCAAGTACCCAAAGAAATTCCCAGGGGCAGGCCTCCTCTTCTAGAAGCATGGACATATGAAAGTTG